GTGTGTGTGTGTGTGTGTGTGTGTGTGTTTTGGGTGGGTGGGTGGGTGGGTGTGTACTTTTTACAAATTCAGGTCACGTGTTTCAAGCTCATCATGTGTGTTGTTCCTTCTGTTCACAGGCAGTTAATAAGATGAGCGTAGCCGCTGCTTCGACCAAACCCAGCCCACTCACAGCTGAAGAATGTACCAACAGGATATTTGTGAGATTAGATAAAGACAATAACGGTGAAGAAATTGTTTCCTCTTTCTGCTTGAAATCATGGTGCACTGTTATTTCAGCTTGAAACAATGGATTTCACACTCGTACACTGTTAAGCATGTAGTGTCTTTTTCCATAGACTGACCTAAATGTTTTGTTGGACTTGGGACAGTACATTTTAATGACAGTAGTCAAGCATTAAAACAAGTTAAACTCACAGTCATAGATTTAGGAAGAAACAGAAGCAGATGATTTTAATAGAGTCTGTCCTCTGCTCTTTGTCCCTGTCCTTGTTATGTCTGTAGCCATCATCAGTCTGGAGGAGTTCATAGAGGGAGCGCTGGATGATAATTGGATCAGAGAGATGCTGGAATGTGACCCCAGCACTGTGAAGGTGGAGAGGCCTGCGAGGAGCGACTCTGCTTTGGGGACCCATGGTTGACCTGTAGTGGCGTTTTCTATTCACTGGATGCAGAGAAATGATAAAACCGAAATTTCCAGGAATCTATTTACTGTGACAAATGATAACGATGTCTGTTGGGTAACTTCACGAAAGACACAGGAGATCACAAAAATATGAATACAGTAATTTAGGTATAATATATGTCACAATATTAAGAGTATTAATATTTATTTTGTATCATCGTTTTGGTTGCATTTTATTGTGTTTGTTGATATTTTCTTGTGTTTATTGAGTTTGTCTGTGCCTGAATGCATCTCTTTATAAAATAAATTATACCTTACAACGCACTGAAACTCTATTTGTCCTTCTTGTATTATTGTATCTATCCTGCACTTTTGGCCAGATTATTTTACACTATGTGACAAACCCAGAAACAATTTCTTGGCTGTTGTGCTCGATGTGTTCTAGAAAGAATTGTCCTTTATCTTTAAAAAAAAAACCTTTAAAAGTACTTATACTTGTATTGGACTATTTTTGCATTGTAGTGGAAGTACTTCGATTCTTCCACCACTGACACCTACAGACCACCAGGGGTCGCTTGTGCTCGTTTCACACTGACACGCTGGCACCTCCCGGACTTTGAGGAATTTTGGTGATTTTCGAGTTTCAGCAAAAAACATCATAAATCTCCCTCGTTATCTTTTAATACGATCGTTCTACATTAGGAAGCGACTGGCGTTTGTGATTATTCCGGTTTTGTTCCACACGAGTCAACAGATAAACAAAGAGTTGCTGTTTTTAAAGTAACGCTCGTGTGTCGCCCTTGACGCTGGTTTTAGTGTTTGTCTGGTGGAAAGTCTCCCGTGTCCCATGGTTCTCGTGCTCCGGTGAACGCGCCACGACTCCGGTCGTATAAAAGCAGCCGCTCCAGGATCCGGGCCCAGTCCAGGCGGCGGCAGGGCGGGATTTTCCAGCGGTGACGTCCCGAAGTTTTTCCAGCAAACCCCCCCCCCCCGTCACTTCGACATCATGGCGTAGCGATGTGGACGGCCCGGGGGGTAGCGTAGCACTGGCGGGCACCGAGCAGTCGACGAACCGGACACCGTGGAGATTTGAAACTGGGAAAAACGAAGCGAACTATCGGAAACGTGCACGTTTCTTCGACCGGAGCTGCGGGTGAGTGACTCCGTCGTGATTGTTTCCACTAACCCGGGTCCAGGAGTCGGAACACACGGAGCTCTTGTGGCTCCCGAGGACGTCAGATGGAGGATTTAACACTTTTTAAATCTTTTATTTCTTCCCTCACGACGCTGACGTTGTGTTGACGGTCCTCCCCGCGGTGCTGGGTCCTAACGGGATGCCTTCAGGGACCGGGGGGGGGGGGGTATCCACAAGTTACCGGTAGTTAAATCCCCAAGTTTGAATCAGGTTTTTATAAAACACGTTGAGAAAAAAGCTGCTGTCAACTTATATCAAGATTGAACTTCGTGATAAAAGTTGGATGTGGAAGTGAATGGTCTCACGTCCTCATGTGGCAGAAGTCAGTCAGACTCCAGAGGTTCGTCCACAGCCCGAGGCTGCTTGTTCTACTTCCTCCGGTCTGATCAGAGCTGGACGAGCGAACTGAAGCTTTGGTTTGTCTCAGGGTCATTTCCATCAAATTCCTCCTCTCCCCTATTTTCCTCAGCCCCGACTACCGGTCCAGGCACGTCTGTCCACCCTGAGTCTGGTCCTGCTGCAAGTCCTCACTTGTTGATGGGTTTTTCTATTATATTGTTAGCTCTCAATGTTACTATGTAAACCCCCGTGAGACAGTGTGTGTTGGTGCTAAACAAATACCATCGAATCAATAGCAATGTAATCAGTGTTTGTGTAAGTGTGTTTTTTTTTAATTCTTTGTAATACAGATTTAAAACCTCCACATCCACCCACGAGCAAAGACCAGTCTTCAAGAAAGAGCCCTGACATTTATCAGGAAAGATTGTGTAATGACCAATGTGACATCATGAGTATAATATTTGGACATGTGGCCCAGCTCTAGTTTAGGAGCTGCAGAGTATGAAGTGTTAACAGAACTACACTGTAAAACTAAGTGAGCTAGTGTAGTGTTTTAGTGTCTGGAGATTTCTTTCTTTTTTCCACGTGTGAAATTTGATCAGCTGTTGTATTGGCCTCCTGTCGACCTCTTTAAAGGGTTTACTCTCCCCTTTCTCCAAATGGTTTCCAACCATTGCAGAACTGTCTGCAATCCAGAGACTTTCTCAAGTTAAAGACCCTGTAGAAGTACTCACTATATACCCCTATATATATATATAGAGAGAGAGAGAGAGAGATCCTGCTAGTAGTAAATGCTTGTCTCAAAGATTAAGCCATGCAAGTCTTAAGTACACACTGCCGGTACAGTGAAACTTCAAATGGCTCATTAAATTGCATCCATATATATCTCATTTAAATGGTTTTCAGTTTGTTTTGTGCAGTTGGGACTTGATGAGCTCTTGAGCTGTGGCATTAGAAGATGTCTCTCTGTGTGATTTAACTCTGGGGGTTTCCTCCACAAGGTTAATTATTCTTCAGATTTTAGGGAAAACCCCTGTTCCTTAGATTGCAGCAAAAAAAATGCAAGGAATTTCTGATACAAGTGTGATGATAAAGGTTGAAGCTGAACTGCAAACCTGAATCAAGTAAACGAAAAGTGTTGCCAAGAAGTACACAAATGAAAACAACAGTGTAAACCTTCAGCTGTTAACATTTCCCAACCCTCTGCACCGCGTGTGCACTGTGCAGCGTTTTCATTGCTCTTTGCTTTAATGTTCAACATCAAGTAAAGGTACACGCAGTGCAGTTGTGAGTAATGTGAAAAGAATGTGTGCTGCTGTCCAACATAAATTATCTCTATGATCTTGTGCATGTGTGTACGGGCAGAAAAAACTTGAGAATGGAGGCTCTTTAACTCAGAAACTCAATTTCCATCTTTCCTTCAGCGTGTTTACATTACATCACCCCCATGTGCCTCTTTATTTTTAGTTCCAGTTTGTCTAAAGATTCAGAAAATGCTGAGATTCACGATCATATTTCTGTTAATGTTAGACCACATTGTTGCGTTGTGTAAAATTGGTGATGGTGTATTCTGCCTGCTTTCCCAGGTTGGAAATAGCTGCAGGTTATTCCAGAGCAGTGACCTGCAGGCAGCTGATGAATGCCTCCACTGTGTCAGGGCATCACTGGACACGCAGCCCCATGGCTACATTTCATGCACCCTTATACTGGGAGACAATAACATTGGCCCTGTCATGAGATTAATCTGTAGCTGGCATTGTGCTCATAATAAAATTATCATAAGCATCCTGTGTTGTACACACCACTGTGGTCAGTGCCAGAATACACCCACAGAAGCTGATCTTACGCGTTACTCTGAGGTTTGTCAGTGAGAATAGAGCATTCACTGTGTGAGGTAGAACAGGATGAGGTATGCAAGCCAGAATTAGGCATTTCGTTCATGGAAACTTTGCGTGAAGGTAAAGACTAAGCCAAGGCCTGCATGACTCAAAACACGGAAAGTGTCATTATGTGGTGGGGCTTGGATCAATCCCCTCATATCCACAGAAACTGTCACAGATTTATCTTTGTAATCTGGATAAAAATAGCAAAACTAAAGGAAAGTGCTGTAAGATTTATGTCTGAATTGTAAATTCCTGTCTCCCCGGGCCGTTTTACCACCAGAGTAACCAGCCTTAATGCAGGCTGTTAAAGCCAGATGCATGACTGCTGTAAACACTTTTTCCCCTCAGAGACAAGTGGCTCTGAGTCTTTGTTTTCCTGTTTCATGTGTGTGTGAGAGCCCTCTCTGTGTCCAGTGAGGATGGGTTACGTAGTCCTGCCTGAAGGGACCGAAGCTGATGGATCTGAAAAGCCATTATAGCGCTCCACTCTCCTCTCTTGTGCTCATTATTCTCTGCATGTCTCTATGAATTATATGGCTGTTTTCACCAAAGGGCAAGATTGCTTTCTGAATGTTTTGCTTTGTGGTCCTTTGGGTCTGAAGACGGGCTGCAGGCAGGCAGGTGCTGTAGTGTTGTGCAGACTGTAGCTTTGCGGTTTTTTTTTTTTCTCTGTCTTTTGTCTTTCAGTCAAAATACCCTGATACATGAACAATAGGCCTCTCTATGTGTCCTATGGTTGGTGTGAGTGGTGCTCATAGTAGGGCAGACAGTGACACTTTGTTTTTGAGAGTGATGCGTGCTTGTTGTGATTTTTGAGATGTCTCCTCTGATAGTTGGCTTGTACAGATGGAGGTCATATTTCAGCTACGAGCCAACACAGGTACAGATCTCATCATCCTCGATTCTTCAAAAGAGCTAAAAATGTTAGTCCAAAAGTTGACTGATAGAAAATAAATCTGCAACTATAATTGATTAATAATTTCAAACCTCTTTGAAGCACAATGTCAAGTGTTTACTGGTTCCAGCAGCTCACGTGAGAATTAGTTGCTCTTCTTCAAAATGTAATATTTTTTCTCTTCTCGCTCTACAACTCTCTTTTGTTTACCTTTTTGATTCACATGCCATGGAGGCGTCCCAGCTCCTGACACGGTGCACTCCTCTGTAATTACGCATTCTTTTTGCACGACACTTCTATGGCTTCATCCAGTGCACAGACAGGGTCTCAACACTGACTTAAGCTGTAGCACACATGGACAGCAAGTTTTCCATGCAGCATGTCTGGTCTTGGCCGGGGTGTTTGAAGGAGATTTTCTAAAAGCCATGTGTTAACCTTACCATTTGCCTTTCTCATGTAAGAGAAAATCTGACTCAGGTTTTTTAAGGGGGATGCCCTCCAGGCTCCAGCTCCAACTTGAGTCATCACAATCGAGGCTCTTTAGGCTGCATTCACACTGGTGCTATATGGTCCGCTTTAAACAAATCCTGGTCCACTTCCACGGATGGTTCGTTTGGAGTGGTGCGAACGCTCATTCGAACTCTGGAACTCTGCTGTTGACTCTAGAGGGCGGTGAGTTGGCTGTAGTTGAGCCTCTTCCTGATTCTCTTTTTCCAATGATCCACTACTGCTATTGATAAATTGATTCAAGATGCCACAGTAATGAAAGTCTGTTCTTAATCTGCTGTTCATGTTTGAATTAAAATTGTCAGTCTTCGGAAAAATTAAACCATTACGAGGTTTCAGTCGAATTTGCTATTCTGTTGATTAATCAATTAGTCAGTTAACAGGAAAATAATAAGTGGCCATTCATTTGTCAAATTAAGCTTTCAAGCAAGTTGCTAATTATTTCTTAATTTGACTTCAAGCATAATGGGGGGGGGGGGGTTATTGAGAAAATATTCAGCAGATTAAACAATACCGATAAAATAATCAACAATGAAAATAACTGTTTATCTCAGTTCTATTTTTCTATTCATACAATATTTGTGCTCAAGAAATTTAGTTGACATTTTTCTTGCTCTCCTTCTGCCTCTGTCTAACGTTGCATGTCTTTCTAAAAGATGTCACTGCTGATTGTAGGTATTTCACAATTCAGTGGACATGACATTTTCAAATTCCCTCAAAACCCGATTCTTTAAATGTCACCTTTTGAATTGACTCAGTAAATCTTGTACATTTTACCCAAGTTGGAAGTAATTGTTCTGTATACTGTTGGGCCTTTTTAAATGCCATGGTATATATTTGCTTTTCCCATTTGGTAAATGGGACAGACATTTACTTTAGGCAGCCGGAGAGAAGTATTCTTA